TGGAATATAATACAGCTGTAAATAATTAGTTTTTATATGTTATACAGCACAGTGGTATGAAACTCGCAGACCCAGATCAGTTATCTCTGTTTTTCCACTAGTTCTGTTGTCTCTAAATTTAAAAAACAATGTACAGGTTCCCCCACACTTTTTAACTGAGAATAACATATCTGTATGTATTCAAAATAGCAACGCTCCACTTGAAGTTCACTTTACTGTAGAAGAAAATCTGATTTGATACTGTGTCCGTGAATTTGGTAGTTAAAATATTTGTTATATTGGAAGTTTAGATACTGGAAGAGCCATGACTGGTGCTTGCTCAACAGAGCCTTGCATGTAGGTTCATGTATGCCGGGGTGGCCAACCTGTGGCACACATGCCACAAGTAGCACAGGCAACCTCTGTGTATAGCATACAACAGATTTGGGAGGGGACACGACACAGTGGCAGATAGGGCAGGCAGCAGAAAGCAAAGCAGCAGATCAGGAAGGGGATTACAGTAGCATTCAGGCAGGGTTCAGGGCCAATTTGTGGTATGCCCGCCAAAAAGGTTGGTCCTCACTGATATACGGATAGATCCTAATGGATAGTAAGAGCTGTTTCACAGGTTACTGAGGCTATTTCTGTTTCTCTAACTGTCTTGGGAGATCTTTGCATCACAACCCATTGACCTTTTTGCAGGAAAAGAGCATTCTGTTTATTGAGTAATCCTGAAGTATCAGGATTTAATTTAAATCCACAGCCCTTGGAGGCCATTGAGAAGATGGAAGAGGAACTGAATGCTATGACATAGCTTGAAGGCATATTTTTATGTTCTTTGATCAGTGCTCTTCCCTTGAAAGCTAAGTGAGGAGTGCAGTGGCTAGCACAGATGAGTGTCATGTTCACTGGTTGGTGTTCACATGTGGTGTTTTCCTTGTGGGAGGCTCAGAAAACCATTAGGAAGGAGAGGATAATTAGTTAGTAGGTACAGCATTTTGTAAATCACTTCACATCCTACACTGTTTTATTTTGTTTGTATGCCAGATCTTCCTGTACAACAACAGATACAAGTACAAAGCCACGTAAACAAACACAAGCCCTAAGAAGATTATGTAAGCTTTGCCAAATGATGTTGGTATGCATGCCAGGCAAGGCTACAAAAGGGAACAAGAACTCCTTCTACTCAAAGGAGATGGAAAAATGTAACTATTAAGAAGTCCCATTGAGTGACACTGTGTAAAGCTGACAGGTAGTGGGAGCTGGCAGTCAGACATGAATAGGCAGTGTTGTAGTCACTTCAGGTCTCTTGCATACAAGCCAAGGAATCTTTAAGGTGAACCATAGAGTTTTAAAAGCATCCCAGCATAGTAACAGCTTGTATGTAAACAAATGATAAATAACTCTGCCAACAGCTATGTCTTGGGATGTTGAAGGAGTGCATCAGTAGCTAACTTATATATATGGGCATGCTCTGGTGTGGTTTATTGCCTTTGAGAGTTCAGCTCATTAATTTTAAATTGCATTTTTAAAATCTTTTCAAACCCCTTTGGGGGTTTTGTTTGCTGTCTTTTCTCAAGCTTCTTTCTGCTCCAACAATTAATTCAGGCTGAGGTGCTCTTTTAATAATCCATTTCAAGCAAAATTTGTTTTGCTTTCCTATCTTAAAATAAGTGCTGTTATGTTTGAGCTTGGGATGCTGCAAGGGAGGTTTGAAATACAGAGTGTGTTTTGTGTTGCAGTGGTTTACAAGCAGATAACATTGCTACTCAGCCGTTTCAGGCAAAAATTATATTAATGTGGAGGTGGAGTAGATAGTTCATATCAGTCATTTCGAGTAAAATGCATTACCTAGATGTTGTAATTATCCCCAAACTTAGCATAATTAAGCTAAGACATTTGGGTATAATGTTACGCTTAAAAGGGATCTGCATGTCTTGAGTCTGGAAATTAGTAGGTAAGGCACCAGTGGAACTTTAACATTGTCCTATAGTGCCTGTATGTACTTTTGAATAACTGAAAGTAATTCCTTCAGCAGAGGCTGAAAAATAATGAACTCTCTCGGGGTGTATATAATCCCAGAGTATCTTAAACTAAGTTTAAAGACACATTTTCTACATACATATCAATTTTTCCTCTCTGTCTCTCCCCATCATGCTGTGACTGCTAGGTTTGCTGCTGTTACCTTGCATTTGCCTACTTCAGCTTGTTCAGATTTCTTTGTAATTAAATCTGTAAGTCTGGATTTCCTGCCTTTATATTATTCCTTTTGGGAACATTGCAGTGTCCCTGCAATACAGTTTACCTTAGGTAACTAGTCCATAGTCTCAACTTTCAGCCCTTCTTAAATTAGTTTTTTTCTGTGAATGTCTTGCTTGCCTTGGTGTTTTCTTTATAATTATTAAAGTTGTACACATAAGCATTAAATGACAAGCCAAAAAATAATGATTGTGACATTTCTAATAGTGTTAAGACAAATTACATCAACTTTAAATCTCTTTCTCTTTTACATCTTTTCTCTTGAAGTCCATTTGGCCAGCCCATTCTGACTTTTCCTGGCTTGTGGTACTGATTTTGCAGTTGTTCTTTGTATCTCCAGACGAAAGAAAGTAGACGGAATATATTTCAGTTTTCTCTGTCTTCTGTTTATATCCTGGCACCAGTACCATGCACACTCACTCCCTTCTTTGTCCCTTCTGCATCCTCTATGTTCCACTGCTCTCAGTGCAATGAGTAGCTTTTGCAAATAATTTCTAGGATTAATGGTCATTGTTGTTTTTAATAAATCGAAGTTATACTTAAAAAAGGATGAACAATGGCATTTATGCTTCTGTGACTGTTATGAAAAATTGCCATCTTTTCACAAGGCTGCTATCTTTTATGAGAGTTAAGATTGAGCCTGTTGTGGGTGTATACAAGTAAAAGATGTCCTCTTTCAGAATGGACACTATTTTTAGTGGCAGTGGAGCCAAGGGGCTCTCAGGGTAAGGTGATGGCCCCTACTGCTGTTGGTGGTATAGTAGGAATCCTATAAGAACCAAGTGAAGGACGCTGTGTGTACCGTTTAGCTTCAATTTCATTAAGAACAGTAGGAGGTAGCAGCTGTTTCAAAAGTGGAGTTCTTTTTAGGACTGAGGAAGATTTTTATTCTTCAGCTTCTGTCAAAGGAACAATTTATCATTCTGTAGAGTAAGAATATTATAAAGAATTAATGACCATTAATTTTAAAACATTTCTTCTACTTTACCTTATGCACATGATTTCAGTGCACATTAAGTAAATGGAAAGTTTGAAGATGCTGCATTATTAAGGCCATTCCTAATAAATTTTCGAAATGTCCCATTTGAGTGTTAATTATTATTTTTTTTAAATCCCTGCTCCCTCCCCCCTCCTCCCTGTTGTTTTCATATAGAAATTACTGCAATGTTAGGAAGGTTTCACTGGGTGTGTTGCATATAACAGGCTGAATCCCTACTTTGGCTGCATCCAGATGAACACGGCCATACAGTATGTGGTGCCACAGACCCATCTGCAGCGCCACACACCGCACATTCAGGCATTCCCTCTGCTTGTACCTTGCAGAATGTTTTTTTGTTTTTTTGTTTGTTTTTAAAACCCTTGGAGGTCTTGGAGTCAAAAAACCCGCGTGGAAAAAACGGGACAGCACATGTGATGGCAGTGTACACCACCCAAAATTGGAGCTTGGCTGGCTGGAGCCATTATCCAGCTGCTAGCTAGGTTCCTAGTTGTAGGAACACTGCAGCTACAGGTTTTCTGGTCCCCAGGACCCCAGGAAAGGCTGCTGAGGCCAGCACAGTTGCTGGCCCCAGCCTCCCCTACCCCACCCAGGGTAACTTGCTGCGTGCCAGAGCACACGTGGCACAGGCATTCCCCAGGGACAAGATGTGCCACTGCTGGTTGTCCATGGAGAACAAAATGTCCGTGCTTATCTGGATGCAGCCTTTGAGTACAAAACCAACAATACATAACTTTGGAGCCATGACCGCTGTGTTCAAAATTGTTTGGCAAACTCTCTTCATCCCATTTAAGCCTAAAGTGAGGAGTTGCATGAAGCTGACAGCTTTCTAAATACCATTCTCTTTGTGCTAAAGCTTTTAGACTGATTTAGGTTCCCTATTTAACAAATTTTGGATAACCTGGTTTTGAGGCACTTTTATTTAATACTTGAGCACACTCTCCTAAAGCTGTTAGGTAGTATATGCATAGAGACAAATCAAAATAATGATGTACACTAATTTTTCCTTGTTCTTAAGCCATTACTAGAGTAAAAAGGCAGCTAGGTGTTAATTGCTCATCATTAATAGACTGCAGTCATAGAGACCTGGTTGATGCAATAAAAACCTGTTAAAATTTCCCAGTTGACTACCAAAAACTCATTCATTAAATTGTGTAAAAGAGGTAGAAGGGAAAAGTTTCATCTAATACACTCCTATATTCTTGAGAAAAGAAGGATTATTAATAGTATTTAATTGAGTAAATAATTATGAACTTAATTTAAAACTGACAAAGCAATTAAGAAGAGGTAATTTGCATATTTAGATACCTTGTGTCAATATGAGCCAGGTAATACAGATGCATAGTAAAGTTTTAAGAACTTCTTCACGGTAAGGATTGCCAGAATCTGGAATGGGCTTCCAAGGGAGGTGGTGCTCTCCGCTGCCTTGGGGATCTTTTAAGAGGAGACTGGACAAGCATCTGGCTGGGGTCATATGACCCCAGCACTTTTTCCTGCCCAGGGCAGGGGGTCAGACTTGATGATCTATTGAGGTCTCTTCTGACCCTAACAACCAGGAAACTATGTGCTGTTTCTTAGAAACCAGATACAGAGTTTGAAGTTGTTTTTGATCCATAATACCTTCTGCAACAGTTGTTATTTGTGACTTACATTGTTGTGTCCTTTGTTTTTTAAAGGATTCTAGGTAGAATGTCTTTTATAGTAAATGCTATTACAGTGCAGTTTCAGTACATGGCTCACTTGTACAATGTTTTTGTCCTTTTAGAATATGAATTCAGTGTTTAAGACCATTCTGGACTTGACATATCCAATAACCTCCATGTTCTCTGGAGCTGCTTTTAACAACGGCATCAGCAATATCTTCAAAGATAAACAGATAGAGGTAACTTGTTTATTTGCCAGATGTATTTGAAAAAATGGTCTCGTTCTATTAGCCTGTATAAGAGAAACCTACTTCTATACTTACAAAGGAATTAGGGACTTTGGGTTGACTTTCTTCTGTATGCTGTAACTATTAACATAATGTTATGTGAGCCTGGGAGGAGGAATTGGTCTGTTGTCATTTTAATAGATTTAAAAACCACCTGTGATGGGCAAAATTTGTTTGGATTGCAAATAAATCCAGTTAGCAAGGAGCCTGAATCAGGACCATGTAACCTCTAAATAGTTTTGTCCTATTGCTTAGCTTGTCCAATCAGCTTTTTCTGTTGTTTGTTTGTTTGTTTGTTTGTTTGTTTGTTTTGTCTACAAGACACGTTTCAGTTACCTTTTTATTGCCATTTTCTAGTGCTCTGTAAGCTACCAGTGAAACTAGTCACATCTGAAAAGGGATCTCATCCCTAAAAAAATAAAATACTGTTTTGCTATACAGAATGAATAGGGCTATAAGTGAGCAGTTGTTCATTCATTAAATGGGAAGATTTTTAGGGCTAGTACTTTTAGTTTGTGTATTGTGCAATTGTATTGTTAGTCCTTTAATAATAATTTGTGTTGAAAATGTGGCGTTCCAGCCTAACAGGATAAGCGTTTGTCTGGAATGATTTAGGAATAGCTCATCCTGCATTGTGCATGGGATTGGACCAGATGTCCCTTTAGACCTATTCCAACTCTACATTTCTAGAATATCACCAGGCTTCTAAACTTGGTTTAAACACTGTTTGGTAGGAAAATGTGTAGTATTTGGTGACTGGAGGTTTAGTGTTACTCCATCACATTAAAGTGAATGGAGCACCTGCTTCTGTAAAATTGCTCAGACCTTCCAAGAGATGCTGAGCACTATCTGTTCTCTGTAGACTGTTACAACTGGGAGGTACTTAGCACCTGTAGGCCATACGGCAAGTCAAGAGCAGTAAACGTTCAGATCTGCAAATCTAAAGTTCTGTGGAAAGCACCAGTGCATCACAACATTTGAAATCTGGTCAAGGACATCCTGGGATAGACAGAAATAGTACAACCTGCCATAGTACATAAGAAAAGCATGCAAGATGGTACACCCAAAACCTGGTACATACCTGAGACGGTTTGTACGAATGTTATAATTAAGTGAATTAATTAATCAACAAATTAGAAGGTATATAGTATCAACATGATTGATCATGTGTGGGCAATGGGTTTGACATAGGTGCTTCTAAGTTATAAAAAGAGTGAAAGAGTGGAATAGAAACACACTTTAGATTTGTGTTTAATCCTGCATTATCCATGTTGTGAGCCAGTTTGATCACCTAGCTGGTAGCATGATTAAAGGCTACACCAAGTTCAGGCTACTCGCTGAATAGACCCTGACTGCTTATTTGACCTGGGTTGCCATAGTACCTAACAGGTCTGTGGGGGCAACAGCAGCACCTCTTGTAAGTACAGTACCCGGTGAATTTCTCTTACAGCCCAATTCTGCACCATTTCTCTGAAGAAAAATGGATGCTGGAATAAAGACAAATAAACTTAGGTCAAGGGGAAGTGCAGGCTCTGTTGAAATCCTTAGCAATACTCCCGTTGATTTCAGTGGGTTAGAGTTTTACCTCTGCTGGGGTGAAATTGCATACAGTTGTGATAGAACATGTTTCTTCCATACATAGCATTGTTATTGAAATCTCTTCTTTAGGAACTTAAAACTGTGACTCATTTGTTCCAATTGTGTAAAAAATACCGGAGTTTGTGGCATAAAGCAAAACATATTTGGGTGAGGGTGCGTTAGCTTTGCCCATACCAGGTATTGTAAGCTGAATCCTGCAGCCCTGTCTCATTGTCTGAAGAAACACCTGTGTCAGAAGAGGTGAGACTTCCACCAAAAGTGAGAGAGAATAGTTTAGGGTAGCTTTGGGAGAAAAAGGAAGAGACTGCAGCAACTTTTACTATATATGACAGCTGTTACAACCACAGGAATTGACAGAGAGAACTGGACTGCCCCATTATCACTTCTCAACAGACAGACACATCGCTTGCCCAACAAACAGATACAATTTTTCTTTGTCAGCACTTGTTAACTGGTCATTCTAGTAAAGAAACAGAGACTGGAAATGTGTATAGACAGGACTGGAAATGTTTAAAGAACATCTCTTAAATGTAACTGTGAAGCTCACATGAAAGGAGCACTTTCACTTTGAAATATTGCTTTAAAACAAGGGTTTGCAAAGTACCCCCCAAGTTTTTGGTACAGTATTTTGTTTACTCTTTAAAAACTCTCCTCTACTGAGGCATCCACTTCTTCTCATTGGTTATTGTTTCAGACGTGTTCTGTTGTCATCAGTGTTGCTGTAAAGTATCAGAGACCCAGAAGGGATAAATATGGATTTTTGCAAGCAGATTCTTTGTCACATTACTGTACTCATCAGCTTCACTCTTGGAGCCTGTCTGCCTACCCAGCATATCTGAGACCCAGAATTTTCTGTTCCAGGCCCTCAGCTTGGAGGGACAGAATGGGTGTTGTGTGCTCTGTACCCCACTACCCATTGATTTCAGTGAGTCAGAATTTTACCCTTTTAAAAATAAAATTTCATGCTGCTGTGGTAGAGCATATTCCTTCTATATAGAGCATGTTTCTTCACTGTATGTGGATGAAATGTCCTCTAGCATAATTGCATGGAATTTTAACCCAGGAAGGGTAAAAATCTGACCCACTGAAATCAATGGGTACTGGGCACAGAGCATGCCACTCCTATTTCATACCCTCAGCTGATGTCATAACAGGCAGAGCAGCACTGACCGTCCGTCAGCTCCTTCACACCACGTCTTGCTTGAGAGCTGGAGCTGCTATGTGTTTAGTTCATATGCCCTCATCAGTCTTCGCTATCATGGATAGCTTAGCTTAAGTAGTTAGTATTACTAATAGTAGTACCATACTTTTCAGGTTACCAGTATTGCCCATCTTTTGGGGTAGCTCTGCCTATTAATGGCTCCAGACCCACCACAACTTTGCAACAGGCATATCAGAAAAAGATTCAAAGACAATATGCAAGTCCTTTAAGAAAATAACCCGCTGATCTAGATAGCGGGTTTGAGAAAGTATCTTTTCAAGCAATTTGTATATTCCTCTCCAAAAGGGAAAGTGAGCCTTTTTTCCCTGAGCACCATCAGATTAACTAACTGGTCTGTATTCACATTTTGAGAGAGAAGAAGGCATTCTTCATCTCCAGGACATTCTCACAAGCAATTTAAATTGCTAGCTAAGTTGAAACATGTAAAGATCTTTTCAAGATCAAAATGACATTCTGATCCCCATCTTACCTTTGAGAAGGTGCCTCCTGTCCTAAGATAAGAGCAAGAATTGAGGCTGGTGCCCCAGTGGTCTAGTCTCTAAACTGCCAGTATTCTGGACCATTGACTTCAAAATTGCCATTGTCAGCACTGTCTGATATACCAGCAAACTTTACGTTTATATTACCTTTTGTGTAACTGTTGCCCTCTGAGGTAGCTGCATCTATTCTAGGCAAGTCATGGCAGCTCTCCCCATTATACATTTGTCTGAGGGTACAAGAAATATGTGGGATGGAGCAGGAAGCCCATCTTTACAGAAAGCTTTCTAGCTCCAGTGCACTGAATGAGCATGTCTTTGGAGTGAACTACACAACATATCTTGAAGAAAAGTAGTTAACAAATAGCAGAGTAATTGTGGTGTTAGTTTGAATATCTGTTGTGAGCCTCAGCAGAAAGAAATATAGATCTTCATCCCAGTTTGTTCAGCATAAAATATTTGCTTTAGTGCCAGATTTTTAAATACACCAGGCTTATGTATCTGTCTCCATCACCAGGGATTTGTTTGTAGCTTTCTGTGCATCAAGATGAAAATGTCTCTTCAATTCCCATGTTAGAATTGGGTTTCAGGTTAAGCCCAGGGTAACAGATGATAGTAAATTTGCCTTTTCCTATATTACAGGATCTTTGGATTCCTTATTTCACTATCACAACAGACATCACTGCCTCAGCAATGAGAGTCCATACAGATGGTAAGTTATCTGCAGCGGTCTCTTGAGTCTGGTGCAATGTCTCAGTGCAAGCTTTGGGTCCTGTATTGTTTCATTCCTACCCATCTTTTAAAATTTTCCTTTCTTTTCAGTGCTAAATGCTGAACATCACAACCCATAGTTGCATGCAGATAACAAGGGATTTTACTCCTCTGGGAGAGATTGCAATGGGCAGGATGATTCACTCCATGGGGAATGCATTCATCAGTTGCTACAATTGTAAAACCTTCAGATTTCTATGAAATGCAAAAACTTTATTGCATAAATAAGAATCAATTTTTAAAGTAGTGAACTTTAAAATAAAAACCCTTTTGAATATAGTATTGCAGTAATTTTATGTTGTTGCTGTGATGGTCCAGGAAATATGCGAGAGGCAAGAATTCTTGTGGGTGATATTAAGTAAGTAAAAGGTATCAAAGAAATTCAGGTAGCCAATAGACAGGAGAGATGCAATAAAACCCTGATAATGGAAGAACAAGATCATTCAAGAGGGTCACTCGTTATTATCTTTGAAGTGCAGAGGTTGGCAAGTATCAGGTGGGTTGTAATGGACTGTGAAGTCATTGTCTACCTTAAATCCCTTAAGGAAGAAATGAGTATACTTCCAAACCAGGGAGACCAAACTGGGGAGTGTTCCAACATGATTGCTTGTGGAGTAGCAAAGAGTTTAGCCACTATTCAAAAGAATGCTATTTCCTGCCTTGGCCAGATGATTTTCTTTTTTGAAAAGAAATGGTGAAATCTGTGTGCTGATTGTTTGTACGGAGGCACTGCAGCCATTTGCTGTTTTTCTCATTAAAACTTACCCATCTGATTCTCCCTCCTTCCTCTGGAAAATGGAATCCAGATTTGCAATTAAAAAATGATGTCATAGGAAAGTTTCTGTGTAACAAGGTGTTCTGCCCTATTAATTCTGAGGCCACTCAAACCTGTTCAGGTGTCAGACCCAATTGGGAAGTGGCTCTGTTATCCTTCTGTTGTGTGTACAGCTCGGTTGGAAGGTAGCTATATGGAGGAGAGACACTTTGGTGTAAAGCTGGGGATTGAATGGAAGGGTATGGTCTTTCAAGAGAGAGACAAGGGGCAAAGTCTCTAGGAGCGTGGGAAGGCAGAGGAACTGCTTTGTTTAGGTTTGAGTTAATTTAAGAGAGCCCTGGGAGAAGGGTATGAAAGGGACTTGGGCATTGTGCCGAGCCCTTTCTGGGCTGGTCAGAGAGTACACCAGCTCTACATTTCTCTGACAGTGAAAGCCAAATGGTCTCTTGAGTGCCAACATTTCTCTCATATGGATTGCTTTCCATTCATTGAAACATAATGAGTAACCACTTAATGTTAATTGAAATCGATTTTATGGTGAGTGTTTGTTCAAAACCAGGGATCTTATCTTGGGGGAGCTGTTCATAGAGGGGTCTGTAATGTCATAGAGCAGCCCATCTCTGAAATATTGGTTATAAAGACATATTATAAAATCAATAGGCAGCCTCTTATGAATGTTGGCTTCTGCAAGGACATCTTCCCTAGGCATTGTGCCGGTTTTCTCAATTCAAATGCTTGGCATTTGAGAATGAGATTTACTTTTTTAAAGGACTACTTTTTAAAGTAACAACAAAAGAAACCCTCAGACTTTGCTCTGACTTGTTTTTAGATGGAGGGAAAAGCCAGACACCACCTCCACCTTACCCATTGTTTTGTTGTATCCTATAGATAAAACATTTGGTGGTATCCTATAGATGAGGCATTTATATTTATCTCATAGAGATGAGGTATAAGCCAAACTTTTCCCAATCTAGACCTCCTAAGTAAACCTGCAACCAGCAGTAATGAATAACAAACTTTTTGTCAGCACTGATGCTAATAAGCATTAGTTTTGATTAAGTTACAGGTTAAACCTGCTGGTAAATCCATTCCCCACATAAAGGAAATTATTATATAAAAAAAAAAAAAAAAAAAAAAAAAAAAAAAAAAAAAAAAATTCTAAATGAAAAATTTCTTGCACCCCAGTGTATCAGCCAGGTGTGAAATGTGCAGCACAAAGAGAGAACTTTGGAGAGATGAGCTTGTAGAGGTAATATGGCAACTCTGATTTATGTAATGAATATATGCCCTTTAGTGTGAGATGGTTTATTTGGAAATGCAAAGTACAAATGGCAATTTTTGGCAACCTTGTTTGGGAAAGGAATTACAAGGAGGACAAGATGGCTAAAGAAGAGCCTTAAAGCAATACATTTTGTAGGAATCTGATCCAGTCAGTTTCTGCATGACTAAATCTCTCAATTTCTAAGAGTTTTTAAAAAAAGGTTATAATGCCTTCATTACAGTACTATTAACAGAAATGTTCAAGAAACAACTAAGATTATTGCCAAGTACCAGCACTCTTTTATTGAGTGGAAATGTTGTTTAATGGTTACGACAACGGTTATGAGGTGGATCCTGAGACCTTATCCAGTTTTCCTTAGGTATTTCTAGTGTGATGTCAGTCTTGCAGCTGGTTATAATGTAAGCATTGTGTCTTGGTGAAAAGGCCAGAACCAGAAGGGAGGGGATTGTTTTGGCTTTTCCAGTGCTTGTTAGTTATTTTTTAAAAATATCCATGCTCAGGGGTAGTTTGGTTTGCTACCTGAGGTGGATCATTAAGGTTCTGGGAGTTTCAGGTTTTGATTTCTCTCTAATTATCTCCACTTGTACTCTGTGTACAAATTGTATCTGGTAGGAGGGATCCAGTGCTATGCAGGGGATGGAATTCCCTATGTTAAGAGAAGTTCATAGAGCTCTTTTCTTTGTTCTTTAGCAGATTGATGCTGCAAGTGTAATTTCTCTGCCTAAGTAGGTGGCTGAAGTTGCTGAACTGACTGCTAATCTGAATGATTTCAGAGGGTACGTGGGTAGCAGAAGAGGCCAGGTTTCTACTGTATGATGATATAGCCTCATGGAAAAAGCTGTCACAGTTAGTAGTTTTGGAACTTTTAACAGCAAAGAATGGAAGAAACTTGCATATCTTTACAGAATTGTCCTTGGAGCTGTTTAAATTTTCTAAACATTGGTAAACTTCAAAGGAGCAAGCCAAAAAAAGGTCCATGAATGATGTCCTGCTGATGAAGTATCTGCTGCATATGTTATCCTTTGCAGTTTAATGTTCTCCAGCTATATTTGAGACTTTATTCCTACCACTCATTGGTCCCTTGAAAAAGCCCTGTCCTTTGGTGCTTGTTGATGGAAGTTTTGATGCAACAGAAGAGTTAAAATCATGGTTAAAATAAAATGTTCTTAATATTTTATTGAATTTGAGCAGTCTTTTTCCAAGCTGCTTTAGTAACATTCTGTAAATCAACCCTCAGGACACCATCAGATTCCAAAAATCACCCAAATCGTCTAAGCCACCCTATCTCTGCTCATCTTTCTCATTCTAAATCATTATGAATGCCATTCCCTCTCTTTAATTCCTGTAGGATCTCTTTGGAGGTACGTCCGTGCCAGCATGTCTCTCTCTGGTTACATGCCTCCTCTTTGCGATCCAAAGGATGGACACCTCTTGATGGATGGAGGTTATATCAACAATCTTCCAGGTAGGTGTGCAACGAAGTTGTGTACAATTCACCAAGAAGACAGATGGTAAAACTCTGTCTGCAGGACCATATGTCTGGACACCATATGTTTTTAAGACCCAGGTAGACAAAGCCTTGGTAGTTGGGGACGCTCCTGATTTGAGCAGTGGGTTTGACTAGATAACCTCCTGAGGCCCCTTCCAACCCTAATTTTCTATGATTCTATGATTGCAGATGATTCTGATGTCAAAATGGTTATGAAGTTGCCTTGTCCTTTGGGCCAACTGTGTTTTTTGCTTTTTTTAATGTGCTTTTCCAAGAAAGCCTTTTGTGATGGAACATTTATTTTACAGGCATGTTTCAAAGATATCACTTCAGGCTAATCACTAGAGCATATTCTAATGTGTATTAGGAAGGAGGGAGGAATTAAATTGCAAACATATGGTCTGCCTCTTATCCTGAATTTATTGGAAGAACACGGTAGAAATATGAACTAAGTCTGACTCTACAGTCATGATGAAACAGTAGCCTCTCTTGGTGTCAAGATGCAAACTGATTTCTGTCATAAAAGAAAAAAATCACCTAACGTTCAGTATTCTGTGTTTTAACTCTAGGAGGCTAATTTGTTGAACCAAGATTAAAGATTAATTCAGCTCAATGCCAGGTTTTACCTATTATAATGTTTTTCCATTGTTACCTAAAACCAAATGAAGCCCCGAGATGTACACAGTGTAGGTTTCTTTAGTTGCATTACCAAATATCTGCTTAGGAGAAAAGGTCAGAGTTCTTGCCACAATATGCAGTAGTCGATATGCAGTGCACAATATGCATTCATAGATTTGTAGATGCTAGGGTCACAAGGGACCTCAACAGATCATTGAGTCCAGCCCCCTGCCTGGGCAGGAAAGAGTGCTGGGGTCAGATGACTCCAGCCAGATGCCTGTCCAGCATTGTTGTGATGGTATGTACAAACCCCACAGTCAGGACCTCCCACCACATGCCACCTGAAGCAGGTGTTGGGTAGAGATGGAGAAGGTAAAAAGAGCCAACTTGGGCCAGCTGGGAGCTGTTTGAGAGGGAGAACAGAGTGATTGGGAGCTGGAAACCAAGGAAGACTGTTTTCTGTTGGAGATCTTTTGCAGAACGGTAGGTCTGATGGAAGAGGACTGAATTGTTTAGCTGCCAACAACTGATTGAAATGGTCCAAGCATATGCTGGGCAGAAACATTTATTTACTTGACATTCAGAAGATCATGAGAATATTAAGGAGTTTGTCATTTGAACCCTGAATGGGCAGGAGAGTTCACATTTCTTTGTGGTTATTCTGAACTCTGGGACTCCAGAGGGCTTTGCCATCTCAGCCTGGAAATTGTTGGAGTCCAGGAAGATCAGCTGAAAAGCAAAATGAAACGGTTTGAGGCACTGCAATATGCAGTCTACAGCTACAGTTTATATACAATTTATATACAAATAATTTGAGAGTGCCTTAATGAAAAACCCTGAATTTGAGCAAACCAAATTATCAGGGTAATCACAATTGAAAACTGGGTTAAGATTTGGGAAAAAGCCCTTTTGGCCCAAAAGGGGCAGCACTGCAAATACCCCTAAAATACTGGAGGAACTGACATCTGGCTTTGATACTTAAATCTATGATGAACTTCTGGAAATTGGAATGACTAATCTAGCTGTCTTTCCTTCTGTCCTTCCTGCCAGACTGCATCCTGAGATTTTAGAGTGTTTGAAGATGATGTTGGGGTTTGAATCAAGATGGCGTGATGCACTGGTTTGCTCAGTCACATAGATGTAAGAGTTCAGTCTCTAGGGAGAGTTTAGTTTTGATCTGGATAAGCATCTCAACTAGTCCTGCGAAGGTGTGTGCCTATTGCTCTGCATAACTGTTCTGGAAACCTCAGTTACCTCTGAATCTGACCATGGCTTCTCCTCAGACCCTATACTGTGAGCAATCTTCGTCTCATTTTTGTCTTTTAGGGTTTCCTTAAAATCCTGTTCCTTAAACTGAAAGGATCTTGATTGCTGTGGCCAGGCCACTCTGCACCCCTACTCCAAGAAGTGTTGCCTCATCCTGTCACCATTACTAATCTCCTGCCTGTTTCCAAGTCTATGCAGAATTTTCCTCTTGGCTTTTAAAGCTGTTTCTGGACTGAGTTCATCCTAACCTCTGACCTGTAGCTATTTCTGTACTTGTATGCAACTGCCAGCTGGTCATTCAGCCTTCACTTCTTCTGTGTCCCCTTGCATCTGCACCACTCCATCCATAAAGCACTCTCTCCTGTCTTTTGAGCCACAGAATTAGTCCCAGTATTTTTGCATTGTAGTGGCAGCGTACCCCAGCAAAAACATTCCCAAGTGTGCCCTGGATGCCTGTTCCTGCTTGCCCATTTCAAACCTGGAAATAGCACAGTGTGGCCACTGCAGGAGTGTCTTTGCTAGCTACTTGCAAGTATCCTGAAAACCAAAATCTCAAGAGTAGCCACTGGGGGACTCTTGGAGTGGTTTCACTGGTGCATTTCTTGCTTTGGAGTGGGAGCAGGGACTCAGAAATACCTTAGCGTGGGCATACTGATGCTGGCTCTAACATATGTTTCATCTTTGTAAAAGTCCCCCAAGGCCTCTCTTTTAGTAATTACATTTACATTAGTGTTTCCAAGTGAGTTATTAGAATGAAGAAGGATTTTAGAGAAAGTTATGACTAAATATTATACATCAATGTGAGGAACAGAATTAGAGTAGCACTATTTCCTGGTAAGTAATTCTCTCAAAATGTTTGTGCAAGTCTATAAAGGAAATGGTATGTAAATGAGACTGTTCCATTGTATTGTACTGTGCAGCCTGTTCAGATCCTTGGCAATACAGGTCTCTACTTCCAGCTACCAGGACCAGACAAGTAAGCACTGTAGAAGCGTGGAAAGTTGGAAAATGATGATGTGGTTTTATAACCCAATAGCGGATGTTGCAAGATCCATGGGAGCAAAAGTGGTCATAGCAATCGACGTAGGCAGCCGTGATGAGACAGACCTCACCAACTATGGCGATTGTTTATCCGGCTGGTGGCTGCTGTGGAAGAGATGGAATCCCTTGGTTGAGAAAGTGAAGGTACCAAAAGCGTGTTTGTGACAATTTCCAGAAAGCAGACAGGAACTGCTCATTGATTACCTAAGGAACAGGAATAGGAATTGATTGCCTGGTCTCTTGCATCTTGAGGTATAAGACGATGCCTGCGGGTGGTAGAGAGCTAGACAAAATCCCAGCATGGAGGAAAATCCAGTGCTGTGGAAAAGTTCAATTGTCTGATGCTTGTGGAAGGAAATACAGAGCAGGGTAACCTTGATTTGGTAGGAGTAAAAGAACCTTTCATTGTTGAAATTAGTTTAATGTAATAAGTCTTGATAAAGTTTAGATTTGGCTGATTTACAAATTAAACCAAGTATACCTTTGCCTAGTTCACTGCATTTCTATCCCAATGTTTCTGAATGGCTGACTACACAGTTTTTTGTAGCGGGCAGTAGTAATAATTGTAAGATGTTTACATGCACAATAGGCTGCTTCAGCCATAATTTTCCTCATCAAGTGAAACTGAGCAAGCTCTGATTTAATATTTATTTTCATCCATATTCCCTTAGGTGTTGTGCACTCCTGCTGTAATCCCTCATGATCTCCTACTTTAACAGTCCTCCTTCATTAAAAACCGTTGTCTGTCTGAAGGCTAGGTCCTTGTGAAGCCCATTAATGTTGCTCTTGGGTCCTCCATGGAACTATGCAGGGCACTGCATCTCTAGTGGGTTGAATGTGTTGCTTCTGGAGTACTGTGGGTTTCTCTGGGCCAGGAAGTAGGAGACTCGGATAACGAATGCCACCCAACTCTCACCTTAGGCAGTGTAAGGCACTGGCTGTAGATAAGCAAGCTGATTAATTGATAATCCCCTCCCTGAAAGAACTCCATGCCCCTTTTGCCTTTTAAACACCTGTATTTCCCTGAAATTAAAGGCTCAGTTATGCTTGAACTGCAGATACATTCATTAGAAAAAAATTGCTTCACTGCCATTGATGATAGAGATTGACTGGCTGACTGACTGTCTGCAGAGTGCTCCTGGGAGACTCGGGAAGGTGTTGGGGTGTGAAGGCTTCAGCAGACATGTCTAAGCTGTTGAGTGGACTTGATGGATGGCCCACTTTTGGCCATTGTTAATTCAGAGCATATTGTGCTAATGAAAGTTTTGTAATTCTTTTGATTTGGTGTCTGGGGCTGATTGGCAGGTGCTGAACATGGCAGAGATCCAGACGCGTCTTGCTTATGTATGCTGTGTGCGGCAGCTGGAGATGGTCAAGAGCAGCGACTATTGCGAGTATATCCGGCCACCCATTGACAGATACAGGACACTGGACTTCGGAAAGTTTGATGAAATCTGTGTAAGTGAATCTTGTTAAAGAAAGCCCTGATGTACCACTCCTTCAAAGCATTTGAGTCGTGCAGTGATCTTAAATGAATTCCAAGGGTTAGCATTGGCTTTTCATTTCTGAGCCACCCATTCTAAAGCATTAGAAGTCTCTTAACACTTAGCTGTCTCTGTATTATGTATTTCTGACAGCTGAGCAAAGAATTGACACTGAGTATTACCATGGGAAGAAACCATGGTGATTTGGTGTTGGATGAAAACCTAAATAATCATTTATCCTGATGTTTAGTCCCAGGAGCAGATTGCAATATCCTTACTTCTTTTGCCAGTTCTTTTACTCTTTGTCCCCTAAGTATTTGAAATCTGAACTATTTTGGTCAGATTTGATTGGTCTCATAAATCATGTGATCATGAGCAACTGGCGCCTTCTGAGTCTGGCAGGGCACTAGCGGCCAGTTGCTGACCAGGGGAGGCCAATCGCTGACCCTGGAAGCACCAACGGCAAAACCAAAAGTGCCACTGGTGCTTCTCTTAGCACCCACACTCCCCAGCTGGCACCAGTCTTAGAGGGGCACTCGGCAGTGCTTCTCTCGGTGCCCCCACTCCCCAGCAAGCGAGGGCCAATCTCAGGAGGGGTGGGAGGGGTACATGCCTCCCACACCCACCCCATGTCCTCCCTATGCATTGCCTAGGCATGTGGTATTGTTTCTCATCCTTGATTAATGAAGCTATCTTGTATAATCAGGTGGAAGGTTTGAAGAAATGTATAGGGAAGGCTATTAATTACTCAGAGGGAGCAGTTTTAAGGATGTCTGTGGCTCAGTTAACATTTCAACACTTCTGTTAATATTATATACCACCCATGGTTCCTTTGCACCTGATGGAAAATCTTCAGAACAATATACGAAAGTCAGCAGAAGGCTATTATTAATGAAGGAATAGTATCAGCATCACAGATCTTCAAGGGTTTGAAATTGTCTGTATTGGCCTATGATAAATCAGTATGGAAAGTTTTGATTCCAGCTGAAGATTTTCAGGGTAAAATAACACATAATTTAAAAATTTGAACAAGGTGTCTTCCCTTTTCTCTAGTGTTTAACAGCTTGGGTTCATTGTCACTGTGGTAGTACCATATTATTGAATTGTCCTTTTTTTCCACCTACTGTAGTGCTTGCTGATATAGTTGTGTTAGCTTTGTTCGTGCTGACCAAGTGGATGCACTTGCTATGTTCATAATGATACCCTTTATTTTGTCTGCTGCTCCATCATTATTGGATGGCACAAAAACCTAGAGCTCAACTAACCAGCATGGTGAATAACACTGCAGGCTGTGTCTCCTCAGTAGCTCTCCTAATGCTTCCATACACATTTGCCAAGAGAGATGGCACAATCAGTCTCTGAGGAATCCCATGTGAGAGGCCTGAGAGCCAAAGAACAATTGTCCCAAATCGCTTTTGTGGACTTCCTAGTGTGATCTGAGCACACTCCATAGCTGCCTTGTGAGTGACTGCAGTTGTCCCAGTAAAACTTCATGGACAGTAGTGTCACAGGATCTTAAAACCAGAACAAATACTTCCTTGTTGCTAGGAAAAAATCTCGACCCTATGGTATCCATGCATTTCATGTTCCCAAAGCAAAAAGAAAACTTGACTGCCCAGAACATAGGAAAACTGAGACAAGTACTAATTTGCCAACGCCCTTCTCCCTGATTCTTCCCTAAATGGCATTTTGAGAGTTGTTAAGATTCATCAGGCTCCAGTATTAATTTTTTATCTGGGACTGCCTGGTGGCTTTCTCAAGGACATGAGGCATTCTGCGGGCCATGGGCAGACACTAATAATCTCCATCTTCCTTGGTCCTTTTCACAGCCAGTTGGAGAATAAATCTAGTGTATGAGCTGTGTGAACAATGAGACTAGAGAATGAGACTTGCTAATGCTCAGCAGAGCAAGTATGGAGCTCCTCAAACCATTGTCCTCTCTCTCTGTAGAGGCAAATAATTTAGCACCAGTTGAATAATTTAAAACTGAAAGCTGAAGTCTTCACAGTTAGAGAAGCTTGGGGCATTTGTACATATGCTTGTGCCGCAGTGCTAGGCACTTTTAAAAGCTCCTGGTGCTGCAGTGCATGCGTTTGTATAAATGGTGAAATGCATTGAAGGTGTTTTAGTTCAAAAGCGCACCACCATCATTTTCCCAGTGCTGATGCACATTTCGCCATTTATACAAGTGCATGCAATGCAGCGCCAGGTATGTCAGCTTGCATACAGAGCAGACTTGATTAATCGAATCTGCTCCGACACACTGGATTTCTGGCGCATCAGAGCAGACAAATGTATGTGTATAAATACCCTTGACTTGGCTGAGCTGTCAGCCAAGTGGAACATGCCTGCTGTACAAGATAGACCGGGTCCTAGGGTTGAGGTGCACGTGTTGATTTTAATCCCCAGCAGGTTAGCTAACTGCCATCTTGCTTTGCCTCTTGCAGAGAATCTGTAAGGCATAGTGACTTCAGTGGGTATATAGAGGCCACTGTATGAGCAATGAAAGACACAACTTTTTATTTACTTATTTAGATTTATGCAAAAGTAAAATTGGGTACCTCCAAGGGTTTAACTACCAAATCAATACAGTTAGCTAGCCAATAATACAGGTCACGTGTGATTCCTCTCACTTATTCCACATCCCATGAGAAGAGTAAAGAGCTTGCCTGGAGTTTAGTTGTTCTAGGGGGATTTTGAACTGTTCTAATAAACCCAGACGTAGAACATTCAGAAGGCTTCCCGGTGTTCTCGTACAGAACTGCCTGGTATCTCCCAGGCACCTTTAATCTCCAAAGCAGCTTTGTCTAAAAAGATTTGCTCCGTTCTCAAGATGTCTCCCAATCTTAGACCACGAGAGACAATGGTTTCTGTACATGAGAAGGGGAAGCTCTACTCTCTCCTCCCTCCACCAGTTCTCATCTCTAGCCCTATTCTAAACACTTGACCAATGTAAGCATATAAGCTAGGAGCTACTTGGGGCAGTCCAATAATAGCCATGGTTGTATGAAACTCAGTTCATGGTGAGATTTACTTTGACAGTGATAGAGCTGGGAGCAGGATTTTTAAAGCAAAATTTTCTGTTCAGTGGAAGCCAGTTCTTCAGAAAAAGACTGGAGCCATTTGTTTGTTTTCTCTTGTTTTTGTGCTAACAACATCAGTGCCAAGTTCTCATTCCCAATGCAAATTATAATGATTGAGTTTTGAAATATTGGAAAATTAGATTAATGTATTAGAAGCTAGAAGTGAACTTTTAATGGTGTTATTGATGTCTGTGTATACTACCAAGATATTTGATCTTTAGAGTAAAGTTCTCATGTAAAAACAAGATTCTTCCCATGCTGCCTGCCTTGTGTGTATTTATGATTTGCTTTCAGAAGACTTGGGACACCAGTGCCTGACAGTAATTCCTCTCTGTCAGATCTAGGTCAGCAAGGAGAAGCCTCAAATTAATCATCTTTACTATCATCTTTCCCAATAAAGAGATTTTTGTAGTAAAGATGTGGATTATATAAACAAATCCACTGCTTACATTTTTGTTGGTTTCTCCTTGTGTACAGAATTATCTGATGTGCCATCTGCACAGAGCTGCCCCCTGTAAAAATAGGTGTGCTGGTGGCACCTATCATAACATACTGTATATCTAAAGGTGGAACAAGCTTCTAACTTAAAATAACACCTTGCTCCACTTAATCACCCCCTCCCAACCCTCATCAGAGCTGAAAAATTAAAGCAACTAGGAGTTGAAGCAGTAAGATATTTCTTTCTAAATCACAGTCCCAGAAGGTAGAGCTTTTCGTTTTTAGTCTGATTTGTGAAACAGGTGGCCTAATGTTTATTATCCTCCAGTTGTTTAAAGGTGCCTTCTTTTTTAAAATTCCTGACTCTTTCCCTTTTCAGGAAGTGGGATATCAGCACGGGAAGACAGTATTTAATGTCTGGTGCAGGAGTGGAGTTCTTGACAAGATGTTAAAAGACAGGGAGGAGATTTGCAAATCCAAAACTTCAGACGTAAGTGGTCAATTTAAAAATCTTTGTCTCGTAGTTATGTGATGCTAGTCAGTGGCCAGTCCACAAGTGAGTAGAGCTACTTGTATAACAACCACAGCATGATAAAGGCAATCAGAAGGAAAGGTTGCCTCATAAGGTGCATCCAGATGAGCTTGCACGTGCCTCTTGTCACGTCTCAAAGCAGTTTGAGATGTGGCAAAAGGCACTCTGGGAACAAAAAACACATTCCCTGTGCTGCATATTTGCAATGTGGGCTCAATTTTAATACCTGGACATCCAGGTGTCAACAAAAACCACCAGGAAAAAGCAGGGCAGGGCGTGGTCCAGTACTGTGCCCTGAAGCAACTGGAGGCTTGGGTCCTCCACAGAGATGCCCTGGTAGCCAGGCAGAGTATCTCTATGGCTGCCTCTTGCCCCAGTGCTGCAGCACTCTTCCTGTCCATGCAGGGCAAACAGCGATGCAGGCTGCTGCAACATGCCCACAGCTCACAGCAGCAGCAATGGCCATCAGGGCCTCCCGGCACAGCCCCACCATGCGGTGCGGGGCAGTGTGGCTCGGCCTCGGCCCCTTGGCACCCAGTGCTGCCTGTGCCACAGTGTGTGGGCCCAGCCTGCCAAGGTGCCATGACCCCAGCCCGGCACAGCAGGGGGGAGGTGGGCTGGGCAGGGGGGATGTGGGCCCTACAAGGGGGGCAGTCCATGTGCAGTTTGGGGGGGCTGTGCCCTGTGGGGGGGGCAGGGGACCCACCCCTCCTGAGCAGCTCCCCCCATGCCCAGTCCCCCCACAATCTACCCACACCTACCCATACACCCCACACCTCTTCCCCCTGCTCCTCCGGCAAACCCCACATCCCCCCAGCACACACCCATTGTGCCCAGCTGCCAGATAGGATGAGACCTGCTGGCACAAGCTGTGGCTGCAGGGGCAGCTGTCCCCACATTCTAGTTAGTGAAGGGGCCAAGGGGAGCGTGCACACACACACACATACATGCATGTGCGCGACCCTCGCCATTTGTGGGGGATACGTTTTTGGTATCCCCCACGAATGGCGAGGGTCTACTGCAGCAGTGGCAGGAGCCTGGCGGCGGCAAGCACAGAGCTCCCAAGGAACATCTTTAAGTGTATTCAAGAAGCGGGTTCGGCATATGCAAATGTTTGCCACCACGAATGCCAAACCCACGAATAGTGAGGGTTTCCTCTGTGTGTGTGTGTGTGTGTGTGTATTGTATTGTATTGTATTGGTCTTTTGTTCTAATTGTGGAAGAACATGGATTTTGGGGTATTTTACGTTGGGATTTTTTTATCAGAGGTTTTGCAGTTTTTAAATATGGAACACTGGAATTCCTGCTAGTGAGGCAAGTGGCAGGACCCAGGCAGAGGAGTCTGCTCAGGGCTGATACCCAGGACTCAGCTGGACATGGCTGACCTGGCCGCTTGAAGCCAGGAGGACATGCTTTGATAGTTCAAAGCAGGCCACCACACTAAGAACATCTTCCGGGCAATAGCTGCCCAGATGGCAGGGCAGCAGCACATATAGCAGTAGTGCCACACAAAGGCCAACTGTGCAGCCACAGGCCCCTGGCAGCTGGCCCAGAGGTGCAGTCCCCATCCGGGTCTGGCAGGCGCACAGCCTTGGGGCCACATGCTGTCGCAGGTGGCAGCAGGTCATAGCCAAGCAGCAGCCCCCACTGTCAGACAGCTGCAGTGGGTAGAGGGTGCAGGAAACTCTCAGTTAGGGCTGCTTTAGCAGTCCAGCTGGCACAAAGGGGCTAGTGTCCCCAGATACCAATTGACCAGGTTCCAGAAACTGTTGAGAGCAAGTAGCCCTGAGCTGCTTGCCAAGGCATCTTTTTATACTGCTGAGGCCAGCACAGGGCAGGTTTTTATATTGGTGGGCTGATCAAGAAGGCAGGCTCTAGCGCCCCCTGGCTGCAGATCCAGGAGGAGCTGGGCAGGGTTATTTTGCCCCAAGTGGCACAAATTGCCCCACACCAAAGTGCATGTCTGGGCATGTGCGCTGACTGCAAATTCCTGGCTCAAATTTGTGCTGCTCCTATTTGAGCTGCTGCAAGCGCATGTGCCTGCATATGTGGATGTGTCCATAGGCTTTTACATAGTATGGACGTGTGTTGGTGAAAACATATTACAGGAAAGGTAGTCTCTAATTTTCAGTATCTCTAGTTGTTTATACACCAGTCTCCAAAAATATTCAGTACCCAGGTATCTCTCTTGTCACTTGATAGTGGTACCTGGTGAGTAACCCTTTTCCCCATCAAATGCATTGGTGTTGAGCATTTGAAAAGCCTAGCTATCTTTCATATTTACTGCTGAGTTGTCATGAAAATAACATTAAGTGATTCTCAAACACTGCCAGAAATCTTGCATTATGCCCTTTCTGCAAGTGCATTTAGTTTAGTATTAAAATATTTGCAAGACCTCTGTGGATAGGTGTGCATCTATTTTGCCATTTGCTTTAGAGAAAAGAAGTAGCTATCAAAAGCCCTGTGACAGCATGTGATACTGAGCTAGTTTAAAGTACAGAGCTTAAGCCACCATCTCTGTCTGCGCTGTGTGTGTCAGCACATTTGAGTAGTTAAGGTTTAGGCTGAGAGAATTTGGCTACTTCTGACAAATATAACAGTTCCTTAGCAGAGGACAGAAGGCATGGTAGAATTGCATCTTATAGGCTGTCTGAATCAGAGATGCATAAGCTTTTTGTGAGCTGTTGCTGCTCTGATTCAGTTAGCCCAGGGGTTTTCAGCAGGGAGTACTTCTGATGGCCTCAGGGGTACTTGGCAGTGGGCAGACCCCTTTGCCCCCAGTTGCTGATCAGCTGCTGGGGGACTGCCCCCTCCCAGGTCTGGCCACTGGGGGGCTCCTGCCTTCTTGACCAGCTGCTGGGGGTACAATGACCCAAAAAGGTTGAAAACCCCTGAGTTAGTTTATAACATGCAACCCTACCGTACATTCTGCCTGACTAAAGACTAAAACAGGCTGCTAGTGTGGCTGAGTATTCATACTCCTATTGAGATTTTCATATAAAACAGGACAAAATGCCCCTATTCTATAGTTTAAAGGCTAAATTCACTCTCCAAATTTGGCTAAAAATTTAACTTCCTTTGAAGAGATTCTAAAAAAATACCTATTAAAAGTTTTAAGAACATTTGTGAGAAAATAGGTATAGCATGTTTGCTCGTTTTCTCTTCATCTTGGGCTCTTCTGTTTGAAAACTCAGTTTTTCCAAAATAGGTTTATCAGTAGCAGTTGGAACAATAAGTGTTAAAGCTATAGACACGTTGTGTAGTAACAACAATGAGTTTCAACAAAGACAGCCAGTGCGTGTAAAAAATGACAGCTGAGACTTGCTACAGATCAGGGGGTTCATGACCAAGAATTTTCATTCTGGGAAGCAGGGTGATGAGAAGCAAAGTGGGAAGGGCAGTGGTTTGGGTTTGTGGGGTGGGAGGAGGATGTGAACATGGACAGAAGTGAAGAGGTGCAAAGTGAATGGAGGAATGGGAATGAGTGAAGTTATGAGGGGTGGGAAGGAGTGAGCCAGAGATATGGAATGAGCATAGAGTAGCTGGTTATTTTTGGAGGCAAGGTTAGTGAGCAAAAAAGGGCAAGTCTGCACAGTGGCAGCAGCATGCTCTGGCTGGGACTGTCCCAAGCGCAGCCTCCCAGCCTGCTCTTGCTAACACATTCCAAGAGGCTGCTCCAGGACAACCTTCTGGGGCTGTTTTTGGGACCTCTGGTGTACTTGAGAATACCTGCTGCAGATGACCCCAGAGTGACCTAACCATCATATTCCTGAGCTTGAAGCATGTCAGTGGAGATGGCTGGGTGAGATGCTCAGGGACATCCCAGCCAGAGCATTCAGCCACCACAGCATATATAGGGCCAAAGGGGAGGCAGAACAGCTTTAAAGCTTCCCTGTGGCTGACTGGGGCAGGATGTCCTTGTGTCCCAGAACATACTGGGAGTACTGCAGCAGCTGTTTTGCTCCACTGCTGAATTGTCCTAATACAGCCTCCAGGAAAACAGGTTCCTAGAAAAAAAAGCCAAACTAGCTGATGACCCAGTTATAATAGCTGCTCCTCTGGTGACCTGCATGCCAGAGGGGACCCCCAGTCTGTTGAACCTCAACAAGTCCATGGACTGGGACTCTCTCTAGTGTAAACTGTGATTGGAAAAAATAATGGATGGAAAAAGGGAGGAGAGACGCAGAGGATGGCTGTGGAGCAGGATTAACCAGTCATCTGTGGGTTTCCAGCCTCACTGAAAAGCCCTACTTCTGTAAACCTTGTCAGCTGTTTGGCCCTTTCCCATCCACTGTAGTATTCAGACATGCTCACTGACTCCTTCGCTTTATAGCCCTCATGTTGCTATAGACTCTGTAAGTTTGTCTGTAGGCGATATTTTATTTACCTGAGCTCCAATTCAGGTTTGGTGTGATGTGTGCAGGGCAGTTGGTGCTGATCTGGAATTGATTATGAAGTTCTTATGGATCTGCAGAGTCTGAGGTTGGTGTGAACCTAAAAAAGCACATGTGTTGAAACAGTTGTGGAGGTTAGTGATGGATTTGCTGGGGATTTCTGTTGATTTTTTACACTTAACATTGGTAGGAGTTACCCTTGAAAAAACCCTGCTCTTAAATTAACAGGGGGGTTTGAGTGAAAGATCATTTTTGCCTAGCCTGTAAAGAAATGGGGGGAAGACTGCACCTGGGTACAGGTGACAGAGGGACATTGGGAAAGATCATGTTGCGATTTATGTTCTGGACAAAAAAGCTAAGGAGGCCAGTGAATGAAGTGTGGACATGAACCCAGATATCAAGGGGCAGGAAGAATGATCAGGGTCTGACGTGGGCATGGCAGAGCAGGGATTCGGGGAGCACAAAGGTGTTGGGAGTGTTGTGGGATATGAGTCAGGGTTGACTGTTGAAATCATCCTACTTTAAAGAGAGAGTTTCATTGGCTGTGGGTAAGTGCTGTCTTAC